GCAAAAACGACATAAGAAGTATCCAAATTCCGGCCAAAAAGCTAAATAAAATAGTATAATCCTCGGATTATCAAATACCCCCAAACCTAAGACTTGCTCATCCCCGAGCATCAAGTACAAAACACAACAAAAAGAAAAACACCAAACACAAAACAACAAAATTGAAAATGAAATGAGAAAAAAAAAATTAGACTCAAACTCAAACACAACGAACTGCCTAGAATTTATACAAGTCTAAAAAATTGTTGATAAATTATTACTAGAAAATGCTCAACACTCCAAGAAGTTATAAGTTGCATAGACTATCTTTCTCTATTGGTCCCCCGAGTAGGTGATCCCCACTTCAGTCCACATTCTGACTTCCCAAATTATTTTATACAGAAATGCAAAGTTTATCAGATGGTGGCAGACTCCATAAGCCTAAGTATCGAACTAGTCTCCACTAATGAGGATTAGACATCACTAAGGATCGAAAGGTCTTTACAGGCTTGTAATGTTGGGCTCGGTTAGTGGGCTCTAAAGAAAAGGAAAAGATAAACAAAGCAAGAGAACTCGGTTTCCTTTAAGCAAACACTAAGAACTACATCAACTTCCACTTTCTTTCTTAACCACCGCTCAAGGTGTCAACCATTTTATAACCCTCAAACATGTGCACTTCTTATTTTTGCTTCTGAAATGCAACTCTCAAATTCTATTTTTTTTTTTTTTTTAAAGTAACAATAAACTTATTGAGGTTAATTACCCCTTTATTCTTCTTGCCCTTCTCACGACCCCCAAACTAATCTTTTAGTTCATTAGCATCTCACACAACTCTCCAAGCTCTTTGTGTTTGCATTAGGTTCAAAATTCTCTTAAGGGTTGTGAAACATGTTTAGGGTGAAGGGTTTTATTGGTTGTATAAGCAAACAAATTAGGACAACGATGATTTCATAAGGCACAAATGGGTGACTAGGGATAAATTTTCATGGTCGGCTAGAAAGGCTCAAACGTTTCGAAAAACTGTCTAAATCACTTCCTCAATAATGTCCATCCCTAGAATTTCGTCTCAAGCATTTCTCAACTAGGTTCTAGAGTCCACCAACATTATCAAGACTTCACCTAACCACATAAAATGAATCTAAGCATGCTGAAATAATGAAAATGGGGTTGAACCACTCAACAAACATCAAGCTAAATCAAGTCAATAAACCTAAACTTGAAGCAATGCTTAACATTTTTCAACAATAAAATCCCAACAATCCTATTCTCATAATAGACTTATGCAATTCATCATTGGCACAACAAAGCAAAACATGAAAGCACTAAACACAAATAAAAATTTTTTCAAAATTTTCCTACCCCCAAACTAAGGATGACATTGTCCCCAATGTCACATTATGCACAATTTACGAATAGAAAAACAGAATTCACAAAGGTACGAGATATTTCCCTGATTAATCTGTGAAGTCTGAGCCTCGTTCAACAGCATGCACACCCATTCCTTAGCTTTCTCATCACCATAATCTGTAAAACAATTTAAAGTTCTGTGGTGTCCACTGTGTTAGAAAATGTCACTGACTAATATGAAAATATTACAACCTAATCTTGCCCTTACAACTACTAGGAAGTTCAAACAAAAATTAACAATCTAAAACAAAAAGAAAATTAGGTTCAATGTACAAAATAAAAGACAATGAAAATTAAAACAAAAAATAAACTACAAAACAGGTGCTCAGGTTTCATCCTTCGGCCTCCTCCTCTCCTTCGGTGTCGTCATCTTCTGTTTCAGAGCCTATCCATTCCTCAGAATCCCAGTCTTCCCATTGGAAGCTCGAAGTATCAATGTCTAGCTTAGTGCAGTAGCTGTGTTGCATATCATACAACATCCGGGTCTACTCTGCCAACCAACCTTGACATCATTCCACCCGTTTCATCTTACTCAAAATCTGCTGCAATAGCTCCTTTGTTGTGGATGTTGAACTGGATGATGTGGTAGTGCCTTCTATGGTTCTCTGTCTTTTTGTTCCGGATCTGGGTCCTTCACTAGGTGGACGCTCAAGATGCTTGTTAAAGTAGTTGGTGTCGAGGACTGGGGCAGGATGGATAAGTGGTTCATCATCTGCCTTCTCGACTCCACTCTTTTGCAATCCACGCTCGACAATAAACCCCTTATCTTTTCTTTTGATTGCACCTTTATAACGTTGCCGAGCCTTGTCACTAACAAACCTATTGTCTACTTGTTTCCCTTTTCCTTTACCCTTGGAAGCTATTTTGATCTGCATGTTCGGTTTTCACTGTGAATACCCAAATGTACCCCCAAACTAAGGATTCAACCAAACAATTCAACACTAAGTACCCTTACTACTGACCAAAATCTCTCCTGCAAAAACACCAAAGTTTCAAAAAATTTCACCTAGACCCCCAAATCACTATTCTTCCAAACTCAACAAAACACTCCCAAATCGCAAACCCAACTTCTTCAACACAATACAAAGCAAAATCTCCACTCCTTTAATCAATATCAAATCACAAACTTCACCAAAGATCAACAACTCAACACATTCAAACAATATTTCAAACTTAAAGCACTAGAATCAAAATTGAGCAATTTAGATGTTGGAGAACTCGAAATCTTACCAAACCCAAGATGATTGCACCCCCAATTTCACCAATTTTGGCTTAGATTGCAAAATCCCCAATTTTTGAAAACCAAGGGTTTCCAAAATTTTCTTCAATTTTTCGTAAAAATCCTTGCTAAAATGAGTTGTTTTGGTGTTTGTGAGGGTTAAGGGTGAGGTATAGGGATGGGAATTCACTGGAGAAGCTCTAGATTGAAGGTGGAATGTTTGGCTCTTGGATACGTTTTGAAATTTTTCGTGAAAAATGAAGAGTCGCGTGGATTTTTATATAAAACAGTTTTCGCAACGGTGAAGTTCTTAATTCCCAGTCAATGCCGCCGCGAAGAAAAGTTCTCGCCGCGGCAAAAAATTCTAGAGAGAAACGTCACTGCAGCGAAGAACTAACTTCATCGCGGCAAAAATTCCTTAGCACAATTCTGCAATACCTTCTATGCCGCGGTGAAAAATTCCAGAGAAAACAATCCCCGGCAAAGAACTTGTTTCGCCATGGCGAAGTATGGACTTTTGACTTCCATTTTGTGCAAAGCGTACATCACCGCGGTGAAAACTGGAAAATTCCCTTTTTCACCTTAATTTGATAATTCACTTGAAACACCCAAAAACACACGAAGTTAAAACTATTCTAAATCATAAAACAATTAAACAAATTCAACACAATACACAAACAAATGAAAATGAAAACACTTGGGTTGCCTCCTAAGAAGCGCTTGTTTATAGTCGGAAGCTCGACTTTCTCAAGTCCTCATGTCGTGATGTCAAGTTGGAAGGGAAATGACTTGCAACTCATCACCCTATCAATGTATGGCTTCAATCTCTGTCCATTGACCTTAAATGTACCATTTTCTTCATGTGACACCTCCACCGCCCCGTATGTGTAAACTCTTGTAACTATGAAAGGTCCGGACAATCTAGACTTAAGTTTTCCAAGGAAGAGCCTAAGTCTAGAATTATGCAACAAAACTTTCTGACCCACTTCAAAGTTCTTCTTCCTGATATGCTTGTCATGCCACTTCTTGGTCTTTTCTTTGTAAATCTGAGCATTCTCATATGCTTCATGATGGAACTCGTCAAATTCATTCAATTTCAGCATCCTTTCCTCCCCAACAGCTCGTAAATCCATGTTTAGCTATTTGACTGCCCAATATGCCTTATGCTCGAGTTCCACCAGCAAGTGGCATGCTTTTCCATATACTAACCTAAATGGAGACATACCAATTGGAGTCTTGAATGCAGTGCGGTATGCCCATAATGCATCAGCTAACTTCTGTGACCAATCCTTCTTAGATGCATTGACTGTCTCCTCTAAAATTCCCTTAAGTTTTCTGTTCGACAGTTCCACTTGCCTACTAGTCTGGGGATGGTATGGTGTAGCCACTCTATGTTTCACTCCATATTTTCCCAATAGCGCATCTAATTGCCTATTGCAAAAATGAGACCCTCTATCACTGATGATTGCCCGCGGTATCCCAAATCTTGAGAAAACGTTATTTCTCACAAAGTTAACCACCACCCTGGCATCATTGGATGGCAATGCAACTGTTTCCACCCATTTTGAAACATAATCCACTGCTACCAAAATGTACATGTTCCCATAGGAATTTGGGAAAGGACCCAAGAAGTCAATTCCCCACACATCAAACATCTCAACAACTAGGATATTATTCAACGGCATCTCATCTCTCTTAGAAATATTTCCACTCCATTGACATTGGTCACATTCCTGAACCACCCAGAAGGCATCCTTGAATATGGTTGGCCAATAAAATCCAGATTGAAGGACCTTGGTTGCTATCCTAGTTCCTCCAAAATGACCACCCACTTCCCTCTCATGGCAATGTTGTAGAATACTCTCCATTTCCTCTTCCGGGACACACCTACGTATCATCTAATTAGCATAGTGTCTATACAGAAATAGCTCTTCCTAGAAATAATACTTCAAGTCTGAGAAAAACTTCTTCTTTTGCTGAAATGTCATGCCAATTGGGAGCACTCTCGATGACAAGTAGTTTGCAATATTTGCATGCCAAGGTGCTTTCTCAATTCTCAGCAATTTCTCATCCGTGAAGGTTTCCTTGATTTGGGTTTCCTCTTCACTTCCCTGGGTTGGTCGTTCAATCCTTGACAAATGATCTGCCACCACATTTGCTGACCCCTTTTTATCTCGGATCTCTAACTCAAACTCTTGTAGTAATAGGCTCCATCTAATCAACCGAGGTTGTGCTTCTTGCTTTGCCAACATGTGTTTGAGTGCTGAATGATCCGTGTAGACTATCACCTTAGCACCTAGCAAATAAGAACGAAATTTGTCAAATGCAAAAACCACAGCTAACAACTCTTTTTCAGTAGTGGTGTAATTCAACTGTGCGTCAGGGAGTGTTTTGCTAGCATACTGAATTACATGCAACACTTTGTTCTTTCTTTGTCCTAAAACTACTCCTAGTGCAAAATCACTAGCATCACGCATCAATTCAAACGGTACTCCGCAATCGGGAACTACAATAATAGGTGCAGACACTAACAATTTCTTAAGAGTTTGAAAAACATGCATGCATTCATCATTAAAATCAAAAGGAACATCCTTAATCAATAAATTGCAAACGGGTTTAGAGATTTTAGAGAAATCCTTGATAAACTGTCTATAAAACCCCGCATGCACCAAGAAACTCCGAACTGCCTTAACATTTGCAGGTGGTGGCAGCTTCTCAATCACTTTTGTTTTCGCTCGATCCACTTCTATGCCGTCCTTTGAAATTCTGTGACCGAGCACTATTCCTTCCTGTACCATGAATTGGCATTTCTCCCAATTGAGCACCAAATTCATCTCCTGATATCGCTGCAAAACAAATGAAATATTAGATAAGCAACTATGGCAAATAGATACAATAAAAAGCTTGCTATACCATACAAAGCATCTCCGGCTGAACGGTTTTTCAAGGACGAACCAAAAACAGAGAAGTCATCCATGAAGACTTCTATAAACCGCTCCACCATGTCACCAAAGATCAACATCATGCATCGCTGAAATATGGTTGGTGCATTACACAACCTAAAAGGCATCCTTCTATACGCAAAGGTGCCATATAGACAAGTGAATGTCGTCTTCTCTTGATCTTCAAGCACAATGGCAATTTGATTATATCCTGAAAAACCATCCAAGAACAATAGTAAGCATGCCCTGCCAATCTCTCCAACAGTGTGTGATGGTGTTCTTGATATGACTGGTGTGTGATGTTTGTTTGAATTAGTTTGCCCGAGGACGTGCAAAAGCTAAGTGTGGGGGAATTTGATGGGAATGCAAAATGTCATATTTAACCCCCTTAATGTTTAGTCTTTTATATGTATTTGTTTCCTAATTGTACTCATTATTACTTTATTTTGGTTTAGGAAGAAAATGGAGGTGTTAATTGAAAAACGGAATTAATTAGGGGAATTCGGACAGTTCCGCCATGGCTTCGTATTCTGGGCATAATTCTCTCATCTGAGCTCCGATTGAGATGATTTGAAATGCTGCGGAACGATAAGAAAGAGATCTACAACTTTCATGTTTTGAGTTTTTAGAGATACTGGCTGAATAAAGGCTGTTATCGAGCTTGAAGTTGACGCACCTGCATTGCCGACGTCCTGGAGCGTTCTAACTTGTTATGCAAGTCAGTCTATTTTGAAGGCATACATGCTGCACGAAAATTAAAGCTGGAAACACCACTTTCCTATTTTATTAGGACTCTATTTTATTTTATTTCCAATTAGAATTAAATTAGGATTAATGTTATTTTAGGCAACATGTGAATCCTATTGAAGAATGGTTAGAGAAAGGCAAGAATTGAGTAGAAAGATTATGTGTAGCTTAACCAAGTGTAAATTTTAGTATTCAAAGTGCATTTTGTTATGCCAAAATTTGAATATCACTTGGTCATGTTATTTCAATGAGTGATGGCTCTTAGTGCTTGGTTCAAGTTACTAAACCTTTACTACTTCTTGAATAACACATTATTTTTAGTTGTTAAAATTAGAATTGTGTAACTATGGCCTTGGGAAAGTGTTAGAAAGGAATTATATGTTAAATTGTTACTTTGATATGGCCTTGTGTGAGAAGAAGGTAGACACTATGTCATGACATACAATATGCCATAATAAATTCTCAAGTTTGTGTACTTGAATTTAGAAAGATTATCCAAATAATGGCTTGGCCAAATGAGTTATTGTTTTTTCCTGTTTTGAGATTAATTACAAACAATATGTAATAAGTGATTTTATTGCATAAGATGTAATACCCGCATTCAGATATGGTAGGGATTATTTATTCAGATATGAATATTTAACATTTTATAGCGGAATTCATAAAAGTTTCAATAGGGGCAAAATGGTCATTTCACACGAATCAGATGTTCAGTGAAAAAGTGAGTTGATAAATATAATATTAAGTGTGCTAGCCAGTAAATAGAGTGTAGAAAGATTATGGAAAATACACGTATGTGATGTCGAGATGAATACGTGTTTGTAAAGTAATAGAAAGAAATTAAAGAATAAGGGTAAAATGGTATTTTCACTCACAACTAGATGAAAGTTGAGTAAAAATGACCAAGACTGTGTTAAATCCATTGAAATGATGGTGTATTGGTAATCACACGTATGACATAATTGGAATTATCATAAATTGCAAGGGCAAAGTGGGATATATATATATTTAGTTATAAGGTTGCAATAACTTAAACCCTAGCCATTCTAACCCTTGTTCACGCCACCCTTCCCCCCTTTTTCTCTCAATTTCTTCACCAATTTGCAAAGAGAATTTATAAGATTTGGCTTAACTTTTTGTAGATTTTCAACTAAACATCCAAAGGTTCAAGAGGAAGATAATTTAGCAAAGGGGGTTATATCACTAGTGTTGCACAAATTCAAGGTAAGTAAACCCAACTTAGTTTTGTTTGATGAGAATAATTGCGTAGAATGATCTTGTATGTTTGTATGTGCTTGTAGGGTGGGAATTATTGGCTGTTTTGATGTTGAATAATGTGTAATTTCCAACCATGAAACTATTGCTGATTATGTGGTGATTTGGATGAAATATGGAAGAATTAGTGATGAAATTGAATGGTGTTGAGAATTGTTGAAACCGGCCAGGTTTAAGGCTAAAGTTAGTGATTTTTTGCTCAAATTTTGGTGGATTTACAGAGATGTGAAATGTGGCCACTAAGTATTGTCATTGTTATATGAATTGTTTGATGAAAATCTAAGAGAAATGCAGCATGAGTTGATTAAATCCATTTAAGAAATGGTTAGAGAAAAGCAAGATTGGAGCAGAAAGATTATGTTGGGCTTAACCAAATGTAAATTTTAGTATTCAATAGTGCATTTTGTTATGCCAAAATTTAGAATAACACTTGGTTATGTTAGTTCAATGAGATAATGACCTTAGTGCATGGTTCAAGTACTTAACCTTGTACTTCTTCAATAACACATTTTATTAGTTATTGAATTAGAAATTGTGAACTTATGACTTTGGGCTTCTAGAAAAGTATAGAAATAAAAGCCTGAAATTAATAGAATAAATGCCAGAGTCAGACCGTATTTTGGGATCATGCATAGACAGCATATATGCATGACATAGCATAGCATATGTAATCCCCACATCGAGGTATGTAGTTTACTTATGCCCTTTTACCCTATTTGATTTTTGTTAAAGTTACTTTGAAAGTGTGAAGAAATGCCTTAAAATTCATTAGGGGTAAAATGGTCTTTTCACTCATATTAGTTGAAAAAGTGGGGAGTGAAAAGAGATAGAATAATACATGGAGAAGTTAATAAAATAAGGGCATTTTGGTAATTGACTAGGCATAGATGTATTCATAGAAATGCAAGGGCAAAATGGGAAACTAAAAATAATATGTTATATCAGAATTGAAGAATAAACCCTAGCCATTCTTCATCCATTTCACGCCACCTTCCCTTCAAATCCTCTCAATTTCTTCAATTCTTCTAAGGGAAATTCATAGATTTTGGGTACTTTTAGTGGATTTTCAATCCCAAACATCCTTAGGAATCCTTGCACAAGAGAGAGTTTTTTATTTTAAAGTGTTGAATTTTGATGATTTGTGTTCATAGGATTTAAGAGAAAGAGAGTTGGGTCAAAGAAATTTTTAAAGTGTTGGATTGCTCACATATAAGGTAAGTAATCCTACCCTAAGTATGATTTAGTATATTGTGTAGAGGATTCTTTTTATGCATATATATGTGTTTTATATGAAGAATTGTGATTGTTGGTGTTGAATGATGATTAAAATTATCCATGAGAAGTAGTGTTGGTATATTGATATTGATGTGAGTTTGGATGAATTTGGAAGAATTAGTAGAAATTCTGGAGTGCACATTTTGGAGGCGTTAAATATGGAGGATTGTTATACAAACTTTTGGTGGCTTAGAAAGAGATAGAATTGTAGCCAAATTAGAGTTGCTTTGTGCCACATAAGTTGTTTGATGAAATGTCAAGAGAAGTGCATGTATAAGTATGATTATGTGTTATATTGAGATGAGTTTGTAGATGGTAGAGAATAATGTTTGCATTCCATAGTGCATAATTGCATTTAACTGTTGATTTAGAAAGAATTATAAGCAAACCATCTACATGCTACATACTCATGCATGAAAAAACACTAAAGAATGTTAAAAGTAATAGAAAGAAATGAGAAATTAAGAAGTTCCAATCTGAATTTTTATTTAAAGAAGTAAAAAGATAAACGTAAAAAAGAATAAAAGGTTGTTGTGATGGAACCCGTGAGTGACAAAGAATTTCCCCCACAGCACGCCGTCTTTAATGACGGCTAAGAATAAGAAAAAAATTGGTACGGTCCATAGATTGCATGTGGATGAGGCTATAGCCAGAAAGAAGAATATACTCCAGGCACGCAAGTTCCAATCCATGCCTCAACCGAGTCCAATTGGAAAAGAATAAGAAAAGAAAGAATAAAAGAAAATAGAAGAAAAAATAATAGAAAGAAAAGAATAGAATAAGAAAGAATAGAAAGAAAAAAAGAACCACTGAAAGAAAAAAGCATATTTTATGCATTTGTGCATCATATATATGCATATACAATGCCCATTATCTGATTATTGGAAATAAGAATAGAAAACAGCAGAGAAAACAAAGTAAGAGTAAGAAAGAATAAAGAAGAATGGGGAGTGAGTAAGGGAAAAAAAATTCAGAATTTAAGCAACAGAGAGAGAAGGGTAGCATAGTGGTTTTACTTACTGAGCAATTAGTGCTCACCCCATTGTTTTTAATGTTTTTACGGTAACAGGTGAGATGCATCACTTGGAACTCGCGCAGTGGAAGGTTAGGCAAACTGTCTAGTTACTATTTTGAGACTTTATTATATTATGCAAAGATTTGTATATAAGAGAAAATTAAATAAGCCCATAATTTTATACTTGTTTAATTATATATATTTAGTGAGTTTTACTGTTATTTACAGTATACTAGCTAGAAAGAGAGTAATTACATTTTTGGTATTAGCAAAGATTTTGGGATTTGACGTGTGCCACTCCCGCCGTGCTGACGTTCTGTAGCCGACTATTGTAAAATTTCTTTCCTTACTTATAGTAGTATAAGTTATTTGAGTTGATTCAAGTGTGGTTGTTTGTGATGAGACATAGAACCCGAGCGGTATAAGAATGCGATTAGTGCGGGGGAAACTTCCAACCCGCTAGAACCTACTCCTCCTACCCTCTGAGAGGCAAGAATTCATAGTATTGTATAGCAAGTGGTAGTAGGGAGTCAGGGAGAGCTGTACAGAGAGAGGTTGAAACCCTCGTTCATGTACCATCACCAGGGAAGAAAGAGAAACCGATACCTGACATGTGCAAACCGTATTGAGCTTATTTATTGACTGCCATGCCAGCACCAACTATCTGAATTTGGGGTACCACGGACCCATTAGAGGCGAGGAATGATTTAGGTCTGTGGAATGCATGACAACACTTTTCCATGACGACAGAGAAAAGATACTGTAGCAAGCTTTCTATTTTGGTGATGCGAATTTGTTGGGAATTGAAGGAAGATAGCCACGATTTACTTCTATGACATGGAAGATTCAAAAGATTGTTTGAGGCTGAATATAGAATTGAAACGGTTCATGAGAAATTCAAGAGTTTATCAATT